ATGTATGTTTTTCTACCGTCTTAAAAGTGTACAGGTATTCTCCTCTACGCCTCGGGCATGTTGTGCATTCTGAAATTTTATGTCCAAAATGAAACCTGTTACAGTTAAGTTGCATCGCGTATACTTATGACTAAAATAGGCTCTTTACGTGGTAACAATATCACCATCATGTTAAAAATATTGAACAGTTTTCAATTTGTTTCTAAGAAGTAACTAAATAGGATAGAACCCCTCGTATCCATCCTCACTTTACATATTTAATATGTAAAATTGGACTGAACGTTAATGACAGTGATCTAAGGAAATGGAGACAAACGACATCAAGAGCTTGGTTCATATAAGGCGTATCACATACATGTACCTCACACTGACATATATCTGGATAGAATTCGATACTCTGACAGACGGTGTAAGACGTACCTCGATACACTGACAGATATCGTGCCATATAACTCGTTACTCCAACATAGTCTGAGTCACGTATACACTGACGTATACCTCAATACACTGACATATATCGTGTCATATAACCCGTTACTCAGACATAGTCTGAGCCACGTATACACAGACGTACACATCAATACACTGACGGATATCTCGACAGACTCCAATACCCTGCAAACGGTTTAACATATACCTCTGTTCACTGACAAAGAGGTGACAGATTTCGATATGCTGACAGAATGTGTGACACGTGCCTCGTTACTCTGACAGAGACCGTGACATACATACTTCGATACGCTGACAGACGGTGTGACACGTACCTCGTTACTCTGACAGAGACCGTGACATACAAACTTCGATACGCTGACAGACGGTGTGAAATGTATCTCTATTCACTGAAAAAGACCGTGGCAGACTTCGATACGCTGACGGACCGAACGTTGTGACACGTACCTCAATGCAATGACATCTATCGTGATAGAATTCGATCATCTGACAGACAGTATGACACTTACCTCGTTACTTTGACAGAGTCTGAGTCACGTAACTTAATACACTAACAGAAACCTTGACAGACTTCGATACTGTGACAGACGGTGTGACACGTACCTCGTAACTGTGACATAGTCTGAGTCACGTAACTTCTTACACTGACAGAGACCGTGACAGACTTCGATACTATGACAGACGGTGTGACACGTACCTCATTACTGGGACAGAGTCTGAGTCACGTAACGTAATACACTAACAGAAACCTTGACAGACTTCGATACTGTGACAGACGGTGTGACACGTACCTCGTTACTCTGACAGAGTCAGAGTCACGTAACTGAATACACTAACAGAAACCTTGACAGACTTCGATACAGTGACAGACGGTGTGACACTTATCTCGTTACTCTGACAGAGTCTGCGTCACGTAACTTAATACACTTACAGAGACCGTGACAGACTTCGATACTGTGACAGACGGTGTAACACTTATCTCGTTACTCTGACAGAGTCTGAGACACGTTACTTAATTCACTAACAGAAATCGTGACAGACTTCGATACTGTGACAGACGGTGTGACACGTACCTCGTTACTGTGCGCGAGTCTGAGTCACGTAACTGAATACACTGACAGAGACCGTGACAGACTTCGATACTGTGACAGACGGTGTGACACGTACCTCGTTACTGTGACAGAGTCAGAGTCACGTAACTGAATACACTGACAGAGTCCGTGACAGACTTCGATACTCTGATAGACTGTCACTTACCTCATTGTGTAAACTACTGATTTTATGGATATTTTCGTTTTTATACTGTCTGATAGTGCCAGCTTAGGTCATATGACGACCGCTGAAGTCATACGACGTCAGCTAAGGTCGTATGATGTCAGTTAAATTCCGCATATGATGTCAGCTAAATAAAGTCATATGAGGTCAGCTAAGGTCATATGACGACAGCTGTAATCGTATGTCAACTAAGGTCAGCTAAGTGGTCGAATGACGTCAGCTAATTGGGCATGGGACGTCAGCTAAGGTCATATGATGTCAGTTGATGTCGTAAGACAGCGATGTCCTTAGAGGATTAGGCCATTCAACTTCCATTTTGAAATGCGTTTAGTAAGAGAAGTGACAGGAGAGACGTCGCAAATATTTGTCTCTTCTTTGTCTACAAAAAAAAAGTTCAGGGACCACTTGTCTGATGTTATCTGCTCTTACAATCAGCATGATATTCTATGATGTGCCGAATCTGCTGGAGGTTTGTTCTTCGTAAAGATTTCTTGACAGCGAAAAAAATTGTGTTGAAATGAAAATATGTAAACTTCATTTGAAACCCGAAGCTCTCCGATGTACGCGAAATGCCGGTGATTTTTAATGTAAGGCAACAAGAAGGATTGGTTGCCACAAGTTTAAATAAATTTCTTTCCCGTTATTTTCTATGCTTACAAAGTTGCATCATCTTAAATTCTACTTCGCTTCAATTAATTATATTTACGGTGTTGGTTTTCATGACAATACTAGGTTCCATTGTGGGAGATAGGTGGTAAGAACACTGACGACGTTTTATCACATTCCTTACGTCAAGGTTATTCTGTAATGACCACGTGCTGGTAGCATGTCGTGCATATGTACGTGCCGAAAATGTACACCCGTGTAATTAGTAGCGTATAGATAAACCCGATCATATAATTACCGGCCGCGAGTAAAAACGTCCGCTTCTCAAATACTTCACATACTGAGGTTGGTACGCTTTGAAATACTGTATATAAAATGTGTGATGTAGGGGGTATTTAATATATCAAATATGTATGGAGAACCCTTAAGGAAACACGACATTCATTCTCCATTTAGGCAGATTGCGTGCACCAACGAAACATCAGTAGGGTTTCGCCGACGGAAGCGTTCAACCTTGTGCCTGCTGTTCCATTTAGACACCTTTTTAGTGAACAACTAGACAACAGTTAGGAATCGCTTTTCAGAACAAAACAGCATCACACTGATTGGTCGTATTTCCAAAGATAACCGTTGAAAATGTGATAACGAACGCTCTTGTTGCAAGAACTCGCCATAGATTGTGTATAAATATGGTAAGGTTTGCATCGATGTCTTCAGGATAGCACTTTTCGGATGCGTGCGCATCTTGGTATCGTTCTATTCATGTCATAAAGATGAGCATTTCTCGCTAATTCATTGTTCTGTACTCATCAGAACCAAACAATCTTCAGTTAAATTTGCAATCTTTCCAAGAAGTAGCCAGCAAATAGACTTGCATTCATCCTAGAGTATCAATTGCTTTCTTTGTAGAAAACAAACACAACAGACCATCATTTGTTTTATATTGGAAGTTGCTGCTTTGGAGTTTTGAATTAAGTATCCATTTATTTTTGGAAACAACCAATACCCCGGTATTTCTAGGCTCCAGACACAGGATGATATCAATATTAAATAAAATGAAGATCCAAATGCCTGTACGTTGGCAAGCGGTGGACAGCGATATTCTGTGTATAGGGTTGTATGTGCGTCATTATTAAAGATAAGGTGTTTCGGGACTCGAACTTCAATTACATTTTTCTAAGACAAACTTAACTTAACTGGTCGTTTTCGAGCCTGATGTGGTTTCGTCAGGTTGTCATACAAACCAGCATACCTACATGCAGAGCTTGACGTGTATCTTATTCCGAACGAGACAGTAAATCTGGAGGGGTGGGCAATTAGATGAAGCAAGCATGTGGAAAATAGACTTGCCAAGTCATTCTCTTTTAAGAACTGTCGGTCGGAATTTGAACAAAAAATGTAATATTTTCATTGAGGTATCCGTCAATGACGTGAATAGAATATGATTCTGACTGCTTCCCACACAGTTTCTCGTGTCTATAGCCCAAGTTCCCTGTTTAAATCAGAATACGTCTCGTGTCTACAAAACGGTGTTTTGTGTCTACAACCTATAGTGTCTCGGATCTACAACATATAGTGTCTCGTGTCTACAAAAAAAGTGCCTCATGTCCACAAAATAGTGTATCGTGACTACAACATATTGTCCCATGTCCATAAAATAGTGTCTCGTGACTACAACAGTCTGTCTCATGTCCACAAAATAGTGTCTCGTGACGACAACATAGTTTCTCATTTCCACAAAATAGTGTCTCGTGACAACAACATACTGTCTCATGTCCACAAAATAGTGTCTCGTGACAACAACATAGTTTCTCATTTCCACAAAATAGTGTCTCGTGACAACAACATAGTGTCTCATGTACACAAAATAGTGTCTCGTGACTACAACAGTCTGTCTCCTGTCAACAAAATAGTGTCTCGCGACTACAACATACTGTCTCGTGTCCATAAAATAGTGTCTCGTGTCTACAACATAGTTTCTCATGTACCCAAAATAGTGTCTCGTGACTACAACAGTCTGTCTCCTGTCAACAAAATAGTGTCTCGCGACTACAACATACTGTCTCGTGTCCACAAAATAGTGTATCGTGACTAAAACATATTGTCCCATGTCCATAAAATAGTGTCTCGTGACTACAACAGTCTGTCTCATGTCAACAAAATAGTGTCTCGTGTCTACAACATAGTTTCTCATGTACCCAAAATAGTGTCTCGTGACTACAACAGTCTGTCTCATGTCAACAAAATAGTGTCTCGCGACTAAAACATACTGTCTCGTGTCCACAAAATAGTGTATCGTGACTAAAACATATTGTCCCATGTCCATAAAATAGTGTCTCGTGACTACAACAGTCTGTCTCCTGTCAACAAAATAGTGTCTCGCGACTACAACATACTGTCTCGTGTCCATAAAATAGTGTCTCGTGTCTACAACATAGTTTCTCATGTACACAAAATAGTGTCTCGTGACAACAACATACTGTCTCATGTCAACAAAATTGTGTCTCGTGTCTACAACATACTGTCTCGTGTCCACAAAATAGTGTATCGTGACTAAAACATATTGTCCCATGTCCATAAAATAGTGTCTCCTGACTACAACAGTCTGTCTCATGTCCACAAAATAGTGTCTCGGGTCTAAAACATAGTTTCTCATGTACACAAAATAGTGTCTCGTGACTACAACAAACTGTCTCATGTCCACAAAATAGTGTTTCGTGACTACAACACACTGTCTCATGTCCACAAAATAGTGTTTCGTGACGACAACATACTGTCTCATGTCCACAAAATAGTGTTTCGTGACGACAACATAGTTTCTCATGTCCACAAAATAGTGTCTCGTGACAACAACAAACTGTCTCATGTCAACAAAATAGTGTCTCGTGACAACAACATAGTGTCTCATGTACACAAAATAGTGTCTCGTGACTACAACAAACTGTCTCATGTCCACAAAATAGTGTTTCGTGACGACAACATACTGTCTCATGTCCACAAAATAGTGTTTCGTGACGACAACATAGTTTGTCATGTCCACAAAATAGTGTCTCGTGACAACAACATAGTGTCTCATGTCCACAAAATAGTGTCTCGTGACTACAACAAACTGTCTCATGTCCACAAAATAGTGTTTCGTGACGACAACATACTGTCTCATGTCCACAAAATAGTGTTTCGTGACGACAACATAGTTTGTCATGTCCACAAAATAGTGTCTCGTGACAACAACATAGTGTCTCATGTCCACAAAATAGTGTCTCGTGTCTACAGCATAGTTTCTCATGTCCACAAAATAGTGTCTCGTGACTACAACATACTGTCTCATGTCCACAAAATAGTGTCTCGTGACTACAGCATAGTTTCTCATGTCCACAAAATAGTGTCTCGTGACTACAACATATTGTCTCATGTCAACAAAATAGTGTCTCGTGACAACAACATAGTGTCTCATGTACACAAAATAGTGTCTCGTGACTACAACAAACTGTCTCATGTCCACAAAATAGTGTTTCGTGACGACAACATACTGTCTCATGTCCACAAAATAGTGTTTCGTGACGACAACATAGTTTGTCATGTCCACAAAATAGTGTCTCGTGACAACAACATACTGTCTCATGTCCACAAAATAGTGTCTCGTGACTACAACAAACTGTCTCATGTCCACAAAATAGTGTCTCGTGACTACAACAACCTGTCTCATGTCCACAAAATAGTGTCTCGTGTCTACAACATAGTTTCTCATGTACACAAAAAAGTGTCTCGTGACTACAACAAACTGTCTCATGTCCACAAAATAGTGTTTCGTGACGACAACACACAGTCTCATGTCCACAAAATAGTATCACGTGACTACAACATACTGTCTCATGTCGACAAAATAGTGTCTCGTGACTACAACATACTGTCTCATGTCCACAAAATAGTGTCTCGTGACTACAACATAGTGTCTCATGTACACAAAATAGTGTCTCGTGACTACAACATACTTTCTCGTTTGTTTGTACAACATGTCTCGTGTTCCCGCATGGTAGTTAATTACATTGTATTCGAGATGACCTTTAATATTATCAATTCCAAAATCCAGAAAGGTTGATTTTGCTTGATATCCACTGGGAGAGTTATTAGAATCATTTTTTTTTTTTAATTGTTCTCTATTAGACTATTTTTGATGACGTTGTTTTTCTGTTATAAGGAAAGATCGTTAACGATCATTACGTAAGGCAGTGGTATATATAATGCGTTAAGGGCTGTAACTCTCTAGACTGCAACTTATGTTTTTGGTTCTCATTTGTTTGGATTCTAAAATCACAGTTATAAAAAAAAGTATATATGAACCCTCAATAGCTATTGTCTCTTTTATGGCTCAAAAAGGTAGTTAAACGTCAATAAACGTGCCATGAATTTGTACAATGTAATAGCAATGTTGATACATATAGGGACAAAAAATGAAGTTAGGGTCATAAGGGACAGTTGTCGGTACCTATATATCAGGGTCACGTCACCCCTGCCTGGTTCAGACCGGGATTCAGTACTATTTTTGGCCTTATCGAGAACACAATCGTAAAACTTTTTTATTTATAACGCTTTATGTGTGTTATGATGCTGTTATGATGCTGTTATGAGATGGGCTTGAGCTGCTACCATTACCATCACAATACCAACTCCCGGGCTGTCTCACGGGGCGGCGGATGAATACACAAATAACTGATTTATGACAGAAGTAGTCCACTCAAAAACTTTCAAAATTAACATTTTTCTTTTGCTTTTTGGCAAATATCGTATTCCGTCTTGTGACTTTAAGGACATGGATCCCGTCGTGTGAGTGTGAAGTGCTGAGAGGTGAAATAACGCCAAAGAACAAATGCAGAGTCATGATGGTCCCTGAATGAGTAACCGATATACGGTTGAATATCAATGACATTTTCAGAATATTACAAAAATATTAACACGAATGTGAATAATAAATACAACCTAAATCATTAAACCATTTCAGTTGAACAGAAAGTAAATAGGTGGGGATGAAAAGGGGTATATAACGCTAACGTGCCGTGAAATGAACTGTTGAGCATACGTACATTGTAACCGGCTGAGGAGTCCCCGGGAGGATATTATACAGATTATGAAGACAGAACGGTTATTGTAATGTAAGAATTGACACTTGTACATGACATCTGCTGGGTTCTTATACGGTCTACTGGGCCGTTGAATGAAAGAACTGACACTCGTACACGACATTTGGAGGGAAAAACTGACAATTAGAGGGAAAGAACTGACACTCGTACACGACATTTGGAGGGAAAGAACTGACAATTAGAGGGAAAGATTTGACACTTGTACAGGACATTTAGAGGGAAAGAATTGACACTTGTACATGACTTTTAGAGGGAAAGAATTGACACTTGTACAGGACATTTAAAGGGACAGACTTGACACTTGTTCAGGACATTTAAAAGGACAGAATTGACACTTGTACAGGACATTTAGAGGGCCATTGTACGAAAGAACTGACACTCGTACTCGTTTGGAGGGAAAGAACTGACATTTGGAGGGAAAGAATTGACACTTGTACATGACATTTAGAGGGAAAGAATTGACATTTGTACATGACATTTAGAAGGAAAGAATTGACACTTGTACATGACATTTGGAGGGAAAGAATGGACATTTAAAGGGGACAGAATTGACACTTGTACAGGACATTTGGAGGGGAACTGACCTATAGCTAGCTGTTACCAAATACCGTTTCACATGAGATTGCTACTGTGACAACTTTTCAGTAGGAGTAAGACAGATGATCGGGGTATCTCTAGCATACATACGATACACACTCTCTCCGTTCCTCTGTGGCCATTGACCCTCTCGGAAGTACGTAAGTTTTACTGGTTGGAATAATAGCCTCGCGACCTTCTCCTGACAAGTGTCAAGTTAGTCCTAGAGATAACAAGAGGGTCTTTCATGCTAACACCCGGTAGCTAGGGGCTGTAAGGGGCCTTGGAATAGGGTCTTAAAAATCCACGGGAAGTTAACCAATTACATATCGTACAAATCGATTAGATCGATTGTTTTCGCGTCATTTATACAGTACAGTTTTTTTTAATTCTATTTTTGTCTGCACCTTTTGTTCTTGTTCAGCAAACGGTTTATTCAGAAACATATGACAGGGGTCTACCCTGTTGGTCCTTATTAGATCTTAACATAACTGTCTTTGTACGTATGGTGACCATCACTCAGACACCAGTATCTGACGTTCTATATACATGATAACCTATAACTTTACGGCCCGTTACACTTTCTCTTTATTTACATATCAATTGAATAGCATTAGTTAGAAGGGATGTGTCGTTCCGTCTAATCTGATACAACAACTTATTATTTGTTCCGTATCGGAGGGTCAGTGCCCGAGTCATTGCTTAGTTTTTCGCCACTTAGATATACTTCTATTACGGCAGACCCTGGCCTATACACGTGCAAGCTAAACATAGAATTCGACAAACAATTTCGTTTTTAATCAATTTTCAGAATCTGTGGATTCCTGTAAGATGGTTTACGGGGATATCAGAGGTAAGTGATGAGGCTATTATATACTAGGCCCCGGGATGTACGGAGTTATGTCTTGTGTGTGGAATTAGTATCATAGGGTCTACAATTAACATTTTATCTCCATTCTTAAGGATTCTGTAGTATAACAGCTGATTAACAGCCGTACTCCAGAGAAGAAGAATGATGAGGGGCAGAGTAAAGGATTTCCAATGATTCGAGTTCTAGCTATATTTAAGTCGATCCAAGTTAACTCGATGTAAGATAAAATCCGAGCTCCAGCTTTTGCTAAGTCGAAATTCAAGTTCCAACAATGGTCAAAACAAAATAAAAAAATCTAGCTCTGGTTAAGTGGAAAGCATGCTAGTTAAAACATAATATAACCTAGAAAAACAGACCCCAGGCAATCCGAACTCCGCAAACTAACGCAAACACGTGTTAACTCTAAACACTGACGCGAGCAAATGCTGACTCCAAACACTGACGCGAGCAAATGTTAGTTTCAAACACTAACGCACCTGAATGCTAACTCCAAACACTGACGCACCTGAATGCTAACTCCAAACACTGGCGCACCTGAATGCTAAGTTCAAACACTGACGCATCTGAATGTTAACTCTAAACACTGAAGCGAGCAAATGTTTACTCCAAACACTGACACACCTGAATGTTGCCTCTAAACACTGAAACGAGTAAATGTTTACTCCAAACACTGACACACCTAAATGTCAACTCCAAACACTGCAGCGAAAAAATGCTCCAAAAACTTGTTACATCCGGATGCTGACGCAATCAAATATTATGGGTACTTCGCACACTGGCGCAAGCACATGTTCACTCCAAACACTTGCGCGAGCAATTGTTTAAAATTCTAAAAACTGATGCGAGATATTTCAATGATAAATCCGCATCATTAAAGGTTCAAATAGGGCATCATGAAATATCTATTACCATTGTCATTGTGTAATATTTAAGTCTTTTTCTACAGAAATATCCCGAACATTTCATTTTTCCGTCACAATATATTGAAAAATTAGAATCTTGAATGTAAGTGTCTAATGAATATACATGTAGTTGTTCTACGTGGTGTTTTGGCGTTCTTATTGATAGCTTCATTATGTACATGAATAGAGCCACTTAAAAAGCACACTTGAACTAAAATACATTTTATTTCAGAAAGCTCCTCATAAAATAAAATATTACATTTAGGACCATGTAAATGATATAGTGGTTGGCGGTATGTGCCTGCATTGGATCACAGCTGAAGGGTTTACTCTCGAATTACGCATTATACATAGAAAGGAATATTGTCGTGTTGCCAAAGTGGAATTTTAATTTAATTCAATTTATGGATATGTTTTAAGAAAACGTGTTTTTACTTTTCGCGTGAAAATTTGTGAAGTATTGACTATCCTTCACATGAAGCTGTGTGTGATCGTACAAATTATCGCTTGTTTAGGGGGAACTATGGCTGACACGGATGTCATAAATGGATGATACAAGTAAGGAACTATTACATACATTTATGTAGCTCTGACGCTTCATTATATAGGTTTCAACTTTAATAAATTAAATTTTTAAATCGTTATATATGTCAATTGTTATTAGGTGAGCCTCATCACGTCCACCCATTGACGCTCGGGCCTGCTAAACAAGGTAGATACTCATGTCGACATTTATGTCCCTGGGAGGCAACCCGAGGACACCAACAGTCATTCCACGCCTCTCTTCACGGTGGTATACAAATCTTAACGCCGATGACAAGAAAAGATGAGAGACCATGCCAAAACACCAACGGTATCCTTCTAATTTATTGTAGTTCTTTTAATCCATGGTTTAAGATGCAATTTAAGATAGAAACTTTATATAAAAACTATGTTCGCTGGATTTTTATTTTTCTCTCGGTTTTTTTTTCATTTTTTTTTTTTTCATAATTTAACACATTATGTTTCTCATTCAGCTTTAATTCCGTAATTTGTTTCTTTTCTTCTTTTTCTCTATTTGAAAGCAGGAATAAAGTCGTATCAGTGTAAAGTAAACTGAGAGTTAGGCAGACTCGTCGTATAATTAACATTGAACGTTGTGGCATCGCTCGCATAATACAATAGTATTGTTTGATAGGACAGTGTCACAGTGCATTCCGTGCATGGGCGTACATAAGTAAATGCCATCAACTTCGGTGCTGTTTACACTGTCATTTCCGGGGATCCTGTTGACCTATTATGCCGATTGTTTCATCAACATTCAGTTATACTCATTGTTTTTCTAGCATTTCGTTGACTCCATCTCTCCCGGCGCCTGGTACGAACATATGGTACTTCTACCATACTGTAAACAGTACTTTAAAAAAACACATGAATGAATGGCCAGTCCACAAAAGATGCCGTACTATGTCTCCTGCGTTTATATTTTCATCGTTTGATATATGAAACATATGTCATGTAGCATTCGTATATATAAAACTGCTAAATGAGATAAGCAATAAATTATGAGAAGTCTACACGTTAAAATCAGTATAAATTCCTTGCCTATCAAAATCAATTAACGACTTTATACGAAACAGTGGTGACGTCGTTGCGTCACCTTATCCGTGACGTCATATCATAGTACGTTACGTCACAGTAGCGTTTGAAACGATGCCTTACTTCCGGTGACGCCATATATTTTCGCAGCTACTGTCATTTTTTCATTATAATAGCAAAGGCATGGCAAGGTTTGTAATATTCCTTTCTATTTCTGCTCTCTTGATTTTGTCAAGTGTTGCTGCTCCGTTCAGTAGTGATGGTGATGTTATCGAAGATGTACATAATGAAATAATGGAAACTCTTGGTCATATACTTGATTCTGATACTGATACTGAGGAGTATAGGAAAAAGAGAGAGCTCCCTTCATTTAACAGCCCATCTTTACAGACAAGAAAAGGTATGTATTTCTAAAGGATAAGTACATGAATTTCAATTCATTTAAATGTAATGGAATTATACTACTGTACAATAGCTAGGTCCTCCAAATACAATGTAGATATTGCATTTATAAGTAAAACAGATCTAGACTATCGTTTGATTGAACTCTATGTCTCGTTAAGAATACTTCATTAGGTTCATAATTCCAGCAACAGGAATTATCGGTATATTGTATGCAATAAACTACTAAATGAATTTCCAAAACGAGACATGCTTTGAGTGTACGTTTCAGCTGAAGTGTACTGATTGGCGACCTTTTTACTACCACTTACATTGTACCCATTCTCGGCGCCGCGACAAATTTCTTCCAAAACAGGAACACTAATTCGTAAAAAAAAATGGTTACAGAAACATATATATATACATCTTAGTCTGCGAATACGAATTTCCATATACCAACGCACGCTAATGCATTGATGTGTCGATTGCAATAACATGTATTAGGTTACTGACTGTTATAAATACCATACTGAACTACAGTTGCCTTGATCTCTTTTTTAATAGAATCTGGTAAACTTGATGAACACGCTAATGACGACGTCGAAGACAATGATGAAGTGCGTCAGAAGAGGAGTATCTTTGATGAGGTGCTGCACTAGGGTCCATACCAATTACCGAGAATAATCATTGTTTGTTTCACTGAGTTCAACAACAACAAAAAACAAGAAAAGATTCCTTTTTAAAAAACGATAAGTTTGAGATTTGTTTTGACCCCCTTGCTACTTTGTTATAAAACAATTCTTAAGGGATAAGTGCTGATCAGTGATACCCTGTTATAAAACAGTCAGTGGGGTATTTGTATTGCTCAGTGATACCCTGTTATAAAACAGTCAGTGGGTATTAGTATTGCTCAATGATACCTTGTAATAAAACAGTCAGAGGGTATTAGTATTGCTCAGTGATACCTTGTAATAAAACAGTCAGTGGGGTATTTGTATTGCTCAATGATACCTTGTTATAAAACAGTCAGTGGGGTATTAGTATTGCTCAGTGATACCTTGTTATAAAACAGTCAGTGGGGTATTTGTATTGCTCAGTGATACCTTGTTATAAAACAGTCAGAGGGTATTAGTATTGCTCAGTGATACCTTGTAATAAAACAGTCAGTGGGGTATTTGTATTGCTCAGTGATGCCTTGTTATAAAACAGTCAGTTGGGTATTACTGTTGCTCAGTGATACCTTGTTATAAAACAGTCAGAGGGGTATTAGTTTTCCTCAGTGATACCTTGTTATAAAACAGTCAGAGGGGTATTAGTATTGCTCAGTGATACCTTGTAATAAAACAGTCAGTGGGGTATTTGTATTGCTCAGTGATGCCTTGTTATAAAACAGTCAGTGGGGTATTACTGTTGCTCAGTGATACCTTGTTATAAAACAGTCAGAGGGGTATTAGTTTTCCTCAGTGATACCTTGTCATAAAACAGTCAGTGGGTATTTGTATTGCTCAGTGATACCTTGTTATAAAACAGTCAGAGGGGTATTACTGTTGCTTAGTGATACCTTGTAATAAAACAGTCAGAGGGGTATTAGTTTTGCTCAGTGATACCTTGTTATAAAACAGTCAGAGGGGTATTAGTATTGCTCAGTGATGCCTTGTAATAATCCAGTCAGTGGGGAATTAGTATTGATCAGTGATGCCTTGTAATAAACCAGTCAGTGGGGTATTAGCATAGCTCAGTGATGCCTTGTAATTAACCAGTCAGTGGGGTATAAGCATAGCTCAGTGATGCCTTGTAATAAACCAGTCAGTGAGGTATTAGTTTTGCTCAGTGATGCCTTTTAATAAACCAGTCAGTGGGGTATTAGTATTGCTCAGTGATGCATTGTAATAAACCAGTCAGTCAGGTATTAGCGTAGCTCAGTGATGCCTTGTTTTATTACATGTTTAGCATCAATGGAATATGAGGTTTTCAGTTTACATTTTTTTACTGTAATAAGTAAGTTATGACACTGACAGTCTTATACTGTCACACTTATATAAGTTATAACGATCAATCAGTGAGTAGGATTCAATGTAAAAAATAACAACACATTTTAAATTGGCTTTGTCAGTTGTGACGTCACATTAGGTTTTCTTATTCTGATGTCGTAATACCGTCCCTTTCTCAGTTATTTTCGGCGGGAGATGAACTATCTATTCACGGAAGGCAATGGCTGCTGATTTAAAAAAAAAAAAAAAAACAGAATGAGTAATAGAAATGAAAGCAATAACAGTTGGCTTACTGAAATAAGAAATATGTTTTATAATTGAAATCATAATCAGAGCTTAATGAAACATGTTCTTTGTATTTAATACAGTATGCATATACACACTGACCTTCGATAGCATTGTAATCCGTCATTGTCTATGATTATATTTCAGATTTCATCCATTGGAAGTCTTACTGACTCTCCTACGTCCATGCAGCTAGCAATCCACAACGAAATCGATGATAATAATGACAAGGTTGACGATAATAATGACAGATTAGATGATGATGATGATGATGACAGAGATGATGATGATGATGATGATGATGATGATGATGATGATGATGATGATGATCATGATGATCATGATGATGATGATCATGAGGATCATGAGGGCAATAACCGAAGAAAGAGAGATTCCGATATACAGAAAGGGGGAGAAGAAGAGAAAGCTGAAGAAAGAGAAAAAGGAAAAGAAGAAGAAGAAGAAGAAGAAGAAGAAGAAGAAGAAGAAGAAGAAGAAGAAGAAGGAAAAAAAGAAGAAAAAGAAGAAAAAGAAGATGAGGATGACATGGGCTTTGAGAAAAACGATATAGAATCGGGAGTAAATGGTGATGGTGACAACGATGACGATTTGCTGTTAGGAAGGAAGAGAAGAGACGGAGATTCAGGCGTCGATGATCATGACATGATATCATACCGGAGAAAGAGATATACAGATCCAGATAGTGATGATGAAGACGACGGTTTTGAGGCAACATTGCAGACGAGGAGGAGGGTTACAAAACCCGATCAGAATAAACCTGTAGCTGATGTCAAGGTAGCACCCGTTGATGAAACAGGCCACGTGTTAATAACTCATACAGTGAAAGATGCTATCGGAGAGGAGAGCAACGATAAAGACGACGGCGATGCGCATAGTGACTACATGAATTCGAAGCGGAAAAACAGAGAAACAGAATTAGAGCTGAAAGCAGTAACTCAAAACAAGGTTACAGAAAGCGATGATTCGGGCGATGTTCCAATGGTCCGAGCAGTGGGAGACGTCAGCCATGATAATGACAACGAAAACAGCGACGACGAGTATGATATTATGAGGAAAACGAAAGATTTAAAAACAGAGGTAGACGATAACGATGATGATCAGGAAAAAGAGGAAGACGATGAATCTGACGAGAACGATGATGATAGTAAACCAGTACTACGGGGAAGACAGGTTTTAAGTGATGATGAGGAGAACTTAGATGATGACGAAAACAATGACGACGATAATGACGACACTTCAGAAAGACGGAAACGTGAAGCATTTGAAAACTTTATCGGCCTGGATGATGACGATATTGATGACGAAGATGAAGATTATATAGGCAGATTAAGGAGAACAGCTCATGTTAAACCCACCTCCCCTGCTCCATCCAATAACACTGCTGTGACTCCGTCTCCATCGTCTGAAGACCTGCTCCAATCTCTTCTACGCCAGTCGATATCCATGCGCGATAACGCGTCGACATCAAACGACGACGACGACAATGAAACTTTCGACGACGATGATGAAGACGACGATGAAGACGACGACGACAATGATGATGACGAAGACGACGACGAAGACGGCGGGGGCCATGATGATAACGCTTCAAATAAGAAAAAGGAATTAGAAAAACAACTTCGATCCATTATTGATACCATGAGTAAACAGAAGCGAGACGCACCAGGTAAGTCTGATTTGTTTTCTGTTTCCCACAAATTCCCATGGAACGGATTTATCTTGTGTTCACTCAGTATTCAACAAAACATCATAAACAATCCCTTTTTTGACTTAGCTTCATTGTAAAATTCCTAAAAATACATGCTCTCTTCGCTGTGACTATCACAATGTATGATCGTTGTCATGCTGTATAACCGAACCTGTTTTCCTCTTTTGCGTAAATGTTGCGCTGTTGTCTATCTCAAACTGGTGTCATGTTGTACAACTGTGGTAATTCTTTGTTTGTTTCACAACAAATATAGATCTCTTAACTCACGACTCATGGAATAAACCTGTGAGGAGTGGGTACACTTTTTGGTTAAAACACTAGTAAGTAACACCATGGACCTCATTTCATTGGTCAATCTTTTAGTACTGACCTTTGGTAACAATAATTTAAACCGTTATGGTCTTTCATTATGCCATCATGATTCATGACAATTGTTTGCCTGACTGGAAACAGGACTTGTGCTTTTCTAAGAGATGAATGTTATAATATAAAATTTGCAAAATTTGCATTTCGAGAGGCACGGTAGTCTAGTGATAGGACGCCTGGCTCGTGACCGAAGGGTTGCGTGTTCGAGTCACGGCAAGGCACTGTGTTGTATCTATTCTATGTTTGTTCCAGTCAACTCAGCTGTAAATGAGTACTTGGTTGGGCAGAGCTAGAATTGTTGAATGTTAGCTGTAAGCGCCGAAATGGCAGCACTGGCTGTATGCTACCCAGGGGGTTGAGAAAGTTATTGACTGGTTGCAAAGGCCCTATAACCATGGATAATAATTTGTGAACCGCTTTGAGACGACCAACGGACTAGGTTGGGATAAAGTGGTATATGAGAACCTCGAATTATTAAAAGACTCTCTGTAAAACTAGTGTCTTCATACAATTTGATATTAAATCGACTTGAGTTTATAGATCAACATGATAACAACTATCGCTCTTTGGGGAACCTTTATATCTGTAACTATTGTAACGGTGTGTGACACACTTTATTGACATGTTTTGCTCTGGTAAAAGCTGTCATGTTGTTTACCACAAGCTGTTGTCATGCCTTGTAACTACCGTTGTTGTTATGTTGTGACCCTGAATCCGTAATCATGTTGAGTACCTTTCTGACGTCACAATCAAGCATACCTAATGCTTCTGACGGATTGGTCAATAATTTGTAATAATAAATATTAATAATATACAGCATTATATATACTGACACTGGTTAAGAAGAAGAAGCTGTTTAAAGAAATTGTTGACGGACGGACGACGGACGGACGGACGACGGACGCCACGGTATGGCATAAGCTCACATTGGTCCTTCGGACCCGATGAGCTAACAATTAATATATGCAGTTATCAATACAATTTTTGAGGAACTCGCAGGAGCTGCCTTATCAGGCGCTAACTACTAGTCCTATGCCACCTGGCTCATATCTCACTATGTGCGTATGCCTGCGTGTGTGCTGGAGATGTATTGTGTTCTGTTTTGTAATGGGTCCGTGCTTCCAACGGCATCATTTATCGTGCCACCTCACTTGAATGCTACAGCACAGATACCGCAACATCCTCCCAAGACCAATTTACACTCGACCTGGGTTGTTGGAGTTGTGTGGGCAGGGGAAAAACACTTTCTCTGAATATCCATGCGTACGACGACTTCGGGGATCGAGCCCCGGCCGCCTGCGTGGAAGGCCGGAGTGTTAACCACTCGACCAATCCGCCATAACTTATTACAGCTAAAATCAGTGAGAACATGAACAAAATCGAACCGGAAGGACAGGAATTTCAATCTTGTACCAGATAATCAGAAGCCATGGCAGCCATATTGTTATATAGGATCAGGTTCAAAAGTTCTTCTTCACCATGTTCACTTTCCACTGAGTACATTTTACCACCAAGTATGAACAAAATCATACCAATAAAACCAAATCTGGGACATGTGGCGTTAAGGTTGTCTGCCAAGTATCATTAACCAGTTGTATACCAGGCAAGTTAAATCAAATCCGATCTTTCCTTCATGAGTTATCATTAAATATGTTTAGAATTCGCCTATCATCAAACCTGAGTAAGAGGTTTGTGTAAGTAGGGAACTAGGCAAGTTTGACTGAAATCCGACAATGCCATCACAAGATTTTGTACGAAAACATATCTGCCATTCAGATCATCAGAAGCCTCAATAAATATGTTCAGAATTTGCCAAACATTGAGTTATCGAAAAGCAATTAATCAATCAAAAGACAGCGGCCTCATTTATTAAGGGCAGAATTTTGCCAAACATCAAATCCGAGCAACGGCTTGGTAAGTACATTTAGTATTCAAGGCAAGTTTTATCAATATCCAATCATTCCCTCATAACATATTACGTAGGAAGCAGCAACCAGACAATCAGAACAATTCAGTCTATTAAATATCTTGAATTCCCTTCAACGTCAAAACCTGAGCAAGAGACTTGAGTAAGAAGTACATCAGGGAAGTTTAATAAATATTTGGTCATTCTGTCATACTAGAAGAGTACCGCAAGGAAAACAATCAGAAAATCAGAACGTTGCAGACCCATGAGCATCAAACCCCAGCGGGAGACTAGCGCAAGTGGTTTGATCAAAATCAGATCTTTCCGTCATAAGATAATTTGCGGAAAGCAATACACCAATCAGAATGCATCCGTCTCATTAAATAGGCATAGAGTATATTGAACATTAAATTCAAGTGAGAAACTTGGAAAAGCAGTATACCTTACAAATGTTATCAACATTTACGAACTATTTCATAATATATCGTGCAGAAAGCAATCAGTCGATCAGAATGCAACCTACAATGTCAATTACTCGCTCAAGTTGATTTTGATCCAAATTTGAAAATCCACATGGCTGCCAGTGGCCATTTTGTATTTTGAAATCCGCACAAATGCCTTTTTTTCGACTATTATTGAAAATTTAGTGGTGCTGATGTGGTCTGATTGACTGGTGGTTTCCGGATAGTATCTTCTGCAGGGAGTGTCAGGGATTGGCATAAAACTTGTCAAATATATACTTATTACCAAAGTAACTCGCTCTTGCTTGATACCTGGCCAAATTTTACAAATATTGAATGTGCTGCAATTTGATTACTAATATACTAGCAAATATAATGAATTCCATTCCTTCATCATGGGTTAGTTGCAAAAATCAGCTTTCGTTCCACTGACGTCACATCCACGTACATAGCTAGCAGTATCGGTGAGTCGGTTTAGTTTTGGTTTTATTAGGTTAATTAAACTTTCTAAGGTCATTTACGGACGTGATATTGGTCAACTTCCGTAAGCAAATCATCAGTGGGTTGATTTGTGTTACGGGGTCATAAGGAAGAAATCAGCTGTATATACATTGTACATCTAATCATATATTGCTGTATATTGACCATATGGAAGACGAGCTTCATGCTAAGTATGTCATCAAGAATAAATAAGAAAGAAAACTAAGAAACTGTTTTATAAGGTCAAAAGGTGGAGATTGTATTACAGGGTCAGAAGTCGGTAATTTGTTTTACATTGTTTCGAGAGAAAAAATAAATTAAAATTAAAATGACGGGATGAAATTTTTAGTTCACAAGCATCAATGTGGAAAACAGTAGATTACTTTAAGTGACTTAATATGGTAGTTCGATCTCAAGGTAACGTGAAGGCTTTTTCTAAATTTCCTTGATTTACTGTATCCTCAACTTACAGATTATGAACCTCAATATACCGACGTAGATGATGACCTCGAGCAAAATGACTTCCTTATTGAAAAAGAAGTTCCTTCGATCAAGCCCCGTAATTCACAAAAACACACACGGATACACATCTCTGAACCATCTGACTTCGATATCAATGAAGATTCAAAGAAGTCTGCTACAGCCATGGTAGATGTACACCCACACCCACCGGAAGTAACAGTTCAACGTACAAGTAGTAATGACGTTTCAATGGCAAAAACGAAAAATATGGGAGGGGAACCATCGGGTCCTATAGCAACAAAGAGCAGACTTGAGCAGCAATATTCGGCGTTCTTTACGAAAAACGCCAAAAGTTAGTATCGAAAAGCTCAATTTTAAACAAAAATCGTTTTTAAATGTCATCCTCGAAACTACAGTATTTGCACAAAATCAAGACCCGGCTTGTAGGTCAGAAAGTTTACATTTTCAAATATACCAAGCTTCCAAATTATTAGCTTAATCACTTCTTACTTCAGATACTTTAGTACTAAAAATAGAATCTGTCCTTTTTTATAAAAGTATCAAATCAGGATGATCACACCCGATATATATCAACAATAATAATCATAACCCCTGTTGACAATTTTGAAAACAAATGGAATGAGTGAAACTTGATAAACATGAAGCTGGTGTTGACGGAAATCCTTTGTATCGATAGGTCGTGTCACCTGGGTGGAGCCTAAGATGATGCAGAACTGTTGGGCACAAGCCATGCTAGCCTCGCGCTTCGGATATTCGCCCAGTTGTAACTCTGATGGTTCTTTCTCGCCAAAACAATGCTTCCTGGAAAGGTTAGTGGTTCTTATAGGGTTGGTTTGGTTTAGTATTGTTTAATGTCCTATCATCAATTATGGTCATTCAAGGACGGCCTCCCCTGTGTGCAAGATGCATGCGTGTAGTGTATGCATGTGTGTTTTGGGGGGCTGCGATATGTTCGTGTTTGTCTCCTTGTGATAGCGCGGAACTGATGCCGACTTTATAGTGCTACCTCCCTGAAACATACTGCCGAAGACACCCAGCAGGACACCCCATCCGGTCACATTATACTGACAACTGGCGAACCAGTCGTCTCGCTCCTAAATTACTGAGCGTTAAGCAGGAGTAGAAACTACCATTTTTACAGACTCTGGTATGTCTCGGTCAGGACCAAAAGAACCAAAAGCCTTCCTTATAGGGGCGAGCGCTCAACTAAAGGCCAAAAGTGAGGCATTGTCAAGGGAGACATTAGGAAAAAGAAAGTTGTTTAGAAAGAAGAGAAAAGATAAGATCCCAAATTTAGTCGCCTCCTACGATCATACAATGGGGGCATCAGATACAATTCTTACGCCCTACCTGCAGGGAGTCTTCTGATAGGTGATAGATGGGGAGTAACTCGGAGTTCACATACAGAAAGTCCCAATGATACGCGACGTGGTAACAGTACCGACGATGTAGCGTAGAAAGTCATGGTACATGTTGTATAGTGGTGCAATTATATTTCGAATATAAAACTTGCAGTCAAAGATAAACCAGTTATGGCAGATAAAATACAATGTGCATTAACGCAAAAAATACACCTAAACAAGCGTTATTGTGAAAACTGCCGAAGCACTGTTCTTCGCTAGAATAAGTGTTTTTACTCTAATCGTTGTTCAAATCGACAGCGACCTTTAATGTTTAGGTCGACATCATCACTTAATTAAAATTCGACAATAACATACAGGTAGTTAGTCTAGAGGAATGTCCGGCATTTTAACAATTAGTCATATCCTCCTTAATCAACTCTTGTCATCAATATGGCGCGGCTCTGATCAGTCCAAAACCACATTCATCATCCAGTAAGTGTATTATAGTCCGGACCCTGTCCAGTAACGGCTAGTTTGTGTTTGACCAGGGATTATCACTATCATCTCTGACCAGTCAGTCAAGTGTCCGGACAGTGAAACAAATCCCTTGGTCAATATAACCAATAGATTGACTTATAACCTGTAGTCTAGGTAATGATTCCCCCCAGTAAGATACCGATATAGACCTAATACATCACTGATAAAGTTGACCGGAAGCTTATATTGACCGCCAAAGTTCACGTGTACAATGAGTTCAATGAGACAACTTGACGGTGACCCAACGATACGACATGTTTAGTAGACTGGGAATATATGTAGCAAAGAATCCTCAAACTTAATGTGGTATTTGATTGTCTAACCCAAGACTTGCTTCAAGCCGAGGTTAACGCTATCGAGAACCTCCCGCTGAGGGTTGATATTTCTGGGACATACCCTCACTAAAACAAACTTTTACCAAAAACAATGGCATCAGCATCTTTACATTTCCATTTCTTTTCTTGTAACATTTTCACATCTTTTCTTGCGCCAAGGCTGATTGTGATGTTATATATAATTATAATAATATCTCCGTTGTATAATGATGTTTCGTTTTGTTTTGGCAATTTTGACACACATCTGCTTGAGGCTATCTCCCCCTAGATGTGAAAAGCTGACATCTTACAACTGCTAATTCTAAGCCTTGAGTCTGACCCAAAAGTTACATTCTTGGGTAGAATGATTGATTCTTCTTCCTCAAACTCTTAACAGACTCTTGTGTAAAAGAGGACATTAACAATACAAATACAACACTAAATATATATTAACATTTCTAGATAATGTTTACACAGACTAAGGCCATATTTGTAAAGAGCAGGAAAAAACGTGCGGTATACCTCTATTTCAAATATACCTGCAAGATCTTCAGGGTAAGCTTGTACAACAAATTGTATGTTCTTGAGGGAATGTTACTTGCCGACGGTAACATTACCACAGTCAATCAATCGACGTTTTAATACGTTTTCAATCGTGATGTTGTAAAAAAACCGCCGTCATAGGATTGTGACGTCCTAATAGAACCGGTCACTAGGTGCACCTATTTGGGATACTCGTTCACGCAGAGTTGGGAGTATGTAACCAGGGTTGTAGGATAGGGACATTTCACGACTGGTATTTTCAAATTGGGTAAAACCCCAGGCATTTGTCGCAGGATTTGTACCAATTTGTGCATCCCAATGGTGGAATTTCCCTTTCGTATACCTTTGTGCGTAAAAGAGAGTGTTTTTTTTTCTCATTCCAATCATTTAAAGTAGCTCGGAAACCTAAAAAAAAGGCGTTGCAATTTCCGCATCGAGGCATCTAAATGTTTCCGATTTAGTGGTGTCACATTATTGTTGTTCCATTGTGACGACGCGCACATGAAACTAGAACACTGACAGGTCAGTAAGGGCCCCGTCTTGTGGCAAATATATCCCCCATAATCATCAAGAAGCAATCTGCCCATATAGCTGAGCTTGACGTTTGACATTTGGACTTCAAAAAGAATCGCAAGGAAGCAAAATATACATTTTACATGTACTATGATGTGATGTGTTTCCTTCCACCTCCATATTTGCTGGGCTAACAGAAATGTAATTACCGGTGCAATACTCATTTGTTAGCTTTGATTTGTTTTATTTCACTTTAAATACCTTCTCCATCAAGAGCCAGGGTCAAAGTCAGAGATCCACTTTGTCTTTGACCTTTGGACCCAAATGACCTTGACCATTAACCCAAGGACCCTGATCTTTGGTCAGTTGACTTATTCTTTAATTCCGACCAACTTTGCTTCTTAATATCATAACAAAATGTTAAATGTTAAAATATCATGACCTTGACCTTTGACCTCCGATACGGGGCCCTAATAAGGTGTAATATTAGAAAGATTAGACACTTCCGGTCAGAGTTAGATTAATTGTATACATCCTACCCTGAGGGTGTGACAGGGAAATCTCCAACCCGAGGAGTGAATATTTGGTTGTCTTACCCGAGAGTAGGTATCTTAACAATGTCCAATAGTTATCTCCTTTTGCAAAATCTTAAAATATGTATTAATATACGCACAGGCAATGTTAATCTGGTCAAATTCATCGGCAAATGAAACGAGTCACATTTGGAAGTTGTATTGAGTCCAACTTGAGTAGAAATTGAAATATTATAACATTAGGTATACATAAGGTATTTCTACACTATCAGCGGTCAGTTGGTGTGGTCATTTATCTTGAAATCCATTTGACCCATTCCGGCCAGTATCAACACCTGAGTGGAAGGTGATGGACAAGTAAACAGCTTTAAACACTAACAGGATCAGGGGGGATAACATACCCTTTGATCGTGGCGACATATTAGGACCAGGGACAATTGTCACAAAGCTACCTCTCCTCTACCGGAATTAGCCACGTCACGCGCTCTCCTTCTTCTAATAATAGCCATGTCACACGTTTTCATAGCGCTGAAAACTACAACCAGTCTAAGACGGGTCACAGTTTTACATTCGCCTAGTATTTATATTTGTTACGATTGTTTGACAGTCACTAGTTTATATATATATATATATTCTTACCTGGCTTATCTTCCTTGTCTTCTTCACAGATGCTGGTGTGTCCATAGAGACGGAGGTCCCCAAGACTCGAACGTGAACTCACGCTTTGTGTACTCCGTGGCGGCCATGATGTTGGAGTGTACGCAGAATCCATAAACAATGCTCGTAAAACTTACTTCATGTCGATGTTTGATGACGCCCATTTATAGAATCGTGTGTGTAATAAATTAATGGTAAACAGCAACATAGAGCTTCGTGTGTACTTCGTGTGTGCTTTCGTGTGTACTTCGTGTGTACTTTCGTGTGTACTTCTGGGCTTGCTTGTTTTAATGAACATTTCGTGGGGCTTGCCTTGTTCTAATGAACATTTCGTGGAAATATATTATACAGTTTTATAAAGTTGTTGAAAAACGACTGCTTTATTAAAATTTGAGATTCTTTTTCTCCAATCCTATCAATACTATGTTTGAAATCAATGATTTTCAGCATTTGTAATCTGTTTTATTTCTGACGTCGAAAGCGGATCGTGACATCTTATTTTTCTTGTGACGTCATACTACACATGTAGTTCCTTTCATCGGCTATCTCTCATGACTTAGTGTGTGAAAGAGAAATCAAAGCTGTGGAGATGACAGAGGAATAGTGAACATGTCAAACTGGAGAAAATCCAGTGAATAGTGGGAAACGAAATATAGAGAGACTAGGGTCACCTAACTTAGGGGGGGACATTAAGTTCGTAAACATGTAACGTTTACTTTACGTGGCTTATGTAACAGACGATTTAGTCTCTACTGTAACTGCCAACACTCTATTTCGTTTACTTTTCACAGTAGTTCCAACACAAACGTTAAGATGTTAACCAAATACAGTAACGATTTAACAGCTCTGAGAGCTCTTCACCACGTGGTAGGCAACAATTAGTAAATCAAAGTTTATCGAGGAGGTATTTGTACCTAGGATAAGAGGGACACAAACGCGTGTGAGTCGTAGCTCTTGGTCATACATTCCAAATGTGTGAGCGATTAGGTGTTTAGTCGGAGACAAGAGTAGACAGAACTGACCGGAGGTGTCGGGCGAACCGTCAAGTGGCCGATATTGGTCACTCAACACAGCAATGTGAACAGATAGTGACCATCGCAATGGCCAGTTCTCTTGCTCGGCAACACTGTCAACATGGAGATACTTTCATCTCAACCAACATATTTGGGAAATGGTGTGAATGGGACAATAATATATTGTAACTGACCCCTGGCCGACACCCTAATAATGACCGGTGATGGACAACATCCATCAAAGACTGGCCTCAATATAATCCCTCGTCATGTCCAACACTGCTGACGTATACCGATTACACGAAATGGGTCAATATCAAGAACTTGAAACAGTCTAGTTAGGTGTCTTGAAAATTAACAGCAATCTTTAAAACAAACGGAATACAACGTTTTACAAGAAGCTGAATTGCTTTTAACGATGTTGTGGTGGACACACCATTAATCGTTGATGACATGTAAACAATGTATAGTAATAACGGTATATTTATACTCGCACCACGACACTACGGCGACAAACACCTACCAAACAGATGTTGGTGGGGTGGAGTTATGAACAGGTAACACGGGTGACAGTTCTATGAATGATGGGTGAACATTTCACACAGTAATCTGGAATCGTACGTGGACTGTAGCAAGTATATTTATCTTGACCATCATTACGTCACAGATATCATCCCAGCTGGCTGAGATACCATTGTGTACAAACATGTGTAATCGTCAGCGTTACGTCACATCGATACCCGAACAGCTACCCGTTCCCACGCCCCGAGTACACTCAGTTTATTGCGGAACCTGACTAGTCTGGACCCCGTTGGTGGTCTAGTGAGTGAGAGGTTCTACTGTTACTCTATGGAGTATTATTACATAATGGCTAGCATCACTAACATGTCAAACGACATTATACCGGTCCTTTCTACTTCAGATAAGGAAGTACAGCTCTCTGATTGGCAACGTACAACGACAAATAGCAGAAGTGTTATTTTCACACTAGCACATATAATCTGAGTGTTATTTCCGCCCAAGCACTACATTTCACTACTGAACTTTGGTTAAAATACAAGACCTATAACTCGACTTGAGAATATAAAACGACACCATTCCTAAACATTGAATTCTTTTCAGTTGGCTTTCATAGCCAATATGAATGCCAACTGGAATGTGAAAAATCCATGAGCGACAGCCTTCATATTGAGTTTGAATGCCAACCGAAAGCTGTTATAATACTAATATCTACCATTAAAGAAAATATTTCAATCTCATTGAAAATAATATTTCTTTATGAAAGAAAGCATTTGACTAAAATAAGTGTACATTTGTGTATGCTGGTTTAATAGATAGAACAGTCATCCCGAGGGGAGGGTCAGTGGTGTCAAGCGTTAACGCTATGATGTAGTAATGATGATGTCGCCACGCGATCCATGGCATTCATAGCTGATATTAATACCATTTAAACCTACAAGATTGAGCGGCAGTGTTATAGAATGGTAAATATATTACGAAGCATTCCAAATACTATACTGACGGAAATAAGTAACGCATTTTTTGCGGGGCCGATATCGCTGCCTTTAACATCCTCACCATATATACTAGCGGAAAAGAGAAACTGTGCATGCTTCAAGCTGGTATGGGCCAAGCCGTTGTCTCTACACGTTTTCATGTCCATCGAAACACAATCCGGGATTTGTGGAGACGACATCAACAGTTTGGTCACGTCGGCGATCGACCTCGTGCGGGACTTCCACGTGTGACGTCACGTCAACAGGACAACCATATTCGACTTGCCCATTTGAGAAATCGCTTCCAAACGACAAGTTTGACTGCACGGACAATCCCTGGGTTGCTACCAATAAGCCCGAGAACTGTTCGGAACCGATTGCGTGAACGAGCTATCCGTCCGCGACGTCCTGCAATCCACACAGTTCTTCTGCCACGTCATCGTGTAGCACGGCTGGACTTGTGCAGAAGGCATCTGCGATTTACTCGACGGGATTGGGCAGGCATTTTGTTTACGGACGAGTCGCGAGTCCACCTGGATAGTAGTGACGGCCGTTCCAGAGTGTATCGTCGCGTTGGAGAACGTTTCCGTGACGCGTGTGTGGTACAACGACGTTCTTTCGGCGGAGGCAGCGTTATGATTTGGGGCGGCATCACAGCCAACGGGAGAACGCCTCTGGTGGTTGTTAACGGGAATTTGAACGCGCTACGTTACCGTGACGAGATCCTCCGGGCCCACGTCGTTCCATTCGTGCAAGGGCAGCAACGTCACATTACGCTACAGCAGGACAACGCCAGGACACACACAGCTCGTGTCGCTATGGACTTTCTGGCCCAGCAGAACGTTGACGTGTTGCCCTGGCCTGCTGTATCCCCCGATCTGTCGCCCATTGAACACGTCTGGGATGAAATGAAGCGCAGATTACGGGCATTACCTAATCAACCGGTGACGTTGGCTGACTTGGCTGCAGCGTTGGTACAGATCTGGAATGCCATCCCACAAGCATTCTTGAACCGTCTGATAGGTTCCATGCGTCGACGTTGCCAGGGGTGCATTCAGGCAAACGTGGACATACGAGGTATTAACTTTGTGAACTCAGTATTGACCCCTGCTGTGTTTACGTCACTCTTGAGCGGAACTTATTGATTCCATAACGTGGAAAATGGAATGCAACTGTTAATAAATAACAAATAAATTGTCCCTGAAAACCTTGTTGTTCTACGTCATACACATTTATTTTTATAACACATTTTAGGCCTGCACAGTTTCTTTTTTCCGCTAGTATATATAGAACTCATCAGTATGTGCAATCTTTAAACTGGTATGTTATTCAATTCCTCCGTGAGTATCTGTGAGTGTGACGTTGTTTGTGGAATTGGCGTGTTTTCTAACTCCCCTGTCCAGTTCGTCCCACAAATATTCATAGTGGACAAAATCTGGACTGTATGGTCGCCAGTCAAGACCATACTGGAACAATGTGTAGGCCAGAAAAGTAAGAAATTTCCTTGCCACGTGTGGCCCTATTGTCCTGCTAGGTTGTATTCGGCTGAAGGATAAGGGGAATGACGTGGGGCTGGGGGATCTGATCCCGGAATGAGCAGCTGTGAGATTGCCCTCGATGACAATTAAGGGGATTTAAACACCGTTTGTTGACGCATGCATTAGCATAACGTTCGCCGCGACGTCGGCGGCTATATATAACATAAGGGGAATGTCGTGGGGCTGGAGGACCTGATCCTGGTATCTAACGGCTGTTTGTTTGCCCTTGGGTACAACTAAGGGGATTTTAACACCATCTGAAACGTATCCCCAAAGCATAACAGACATTCCTCAAAATCTGTAATTTGTCTTAACGCATGCATTTGCATATCGTTCACCGTGACGACAGTAGACATGTTGGCGGCTATGTCTAACGTAAGGACGTCGTGGCTTTTAATTAAAATCGCGTAACTGGTATCTGACCGTTTTCGGGCACACTCGGCGTCCATAATAACCAAGGACGTTGTTCATGTTTCTGTCGCCGTTTGGAAACGGTTCCGGAGGTGAGACAGACGTACGTGGACGTCAACTAATCAGACAATCTGTTAGTTAATCGCACAGTGCCCCTAAGGCGACTAACTAAACGGGCGATAGTTGATATATCCATAAACATCGAATTGTTGTGATTGACCTGGCTAAATAAGAGCAAAATAATCCGTCTTCTCTCAACTTCAGACATTCGCGGCATTCTAATGTTTACTGGTTTTGGACTAAATTGTTGTGCACTCTATCTAAGCATTTCAAGTTTATCCCAGGTGGGCATGCACCGGATACTTGAATTTTGACAATTTTGGTAAAGTGTGCAGCAAGGTTTCGTATATGGGTCTTGTACAAATTTGAGTCAGCACCCCTTTGGCAGTACAAGGAGAAATAATTCTACCATTTCACTGAAGTTGGTCTACAAATAGTGAAGTTATAAAAACAAAACCAGAGTTGCAATACGTGTTCTTTTTCTGATAGTATTCTAAATCCCGAGCAATTCATATCTAACGGCCCTATATGTTGTGTAAGTGTTCAGACGTTCAGTTCCTAGAGCTGACTTGATATCTCTGATCAGTCTAATGTTAATGCGGAAGTGTTGTTTCGGACAATCTGTCAGCAGTCTAATATGAATGTGTAAGTGTTTCGGACCTTCAGTTCCTAGTGCGCGCTGATATCTGGGATCAGTCTATTGCTGCTGATTATAGCTAACAGGTTGAGCCCTGATCACTAAACCAGTAAATGAAAAACATGTCAATTTGATGTTTATTGATGTTCGTTTGAGTCTCGTATCAGAACTTACATGTCAATAAATTACATATTTGGTCAAATCTGAAGGAATTATCGTATCTCTCTTAGGCTAATGGCAAATACACTGGTATCTAGCAACTGGTCAATTTCGGCCACTATGAATACATATATGTACATATACTTGTATGTCACTGGACAGTCACTGACCACAGGTTTATATACAGACGCTCTTTGATCACACTAAGATAAGGATTTAAAACCCAAACGTTAAATATTATCGTTTTGATGTTTGATTTATTTTTCTTTACACGCTATTCAATCACGATACGTACGAATTCACTCTATAGTGTGTGTTAGTTTTGCCAATACAATGACTTGACACGTATAGCAATGTATCGTAAAAGGTGGAACTCATATATCTATGTAGGCGGTGGCGTAGCATATATGCATGCTTGTATTCTTAAGCATATACACACACAAAAATAAGATTTTTTTCAATCTTATATTTTTATTAATTTCATTTTTTAATAATCAAAAATAAATGAATCATAAAAAAGAAAAAAAAGAAAAACAAATCTTGAAAATTTTAGTCCGACGGAACATTATACACGTAGCGTGTTGTCCTCAGATACTCGTTTAAGGGCCTTTTAATCTTATAATTAGCAAATAAAACTGTTACGGTATACTTGTTAATAATCAGACTAAAAGGAGTTCCCAGAGCACGGGACATTACTTCTATGGCTTAGTAGAATTTTTGTCAAGCTACTGTTCAATTTGCTAAGCCACTACCATTAATTAATTAGGATACGAAGCGGTTATAATCAGAAGGGAGGTAACTCCCAAAACATTTTTATATTTAATGTAAAACGTCAGGTGTGGGGAATTTCCTTTTAGAGCAGCGGTAGAGCATCGGGTTGGAGAGCCAAGGGTTGCGGGTTCGAGCCCCAGCGACGGCACTATCTTTATCACTATTCCTTTGCGTCCTACTACATTAATATGGTTTACATCAACAGATACACCGTTAACTTTAAACTCTTAATATTGATTCTCAATGAATTCTGTCAACTAGATATTACCTATGTATTAATGATTAAGTAATTTAAAGATTTTCTTTAAAGTTGCGAATAAAAGTCAACTATATTTCAACAAGAGGTCCATGGTGCCTGTATTGTTCCCCTTATTATATATTTTAGGTGAATGTGAGTTCTAACATTAGAACAGACACACAAGGTAAATACAACATAACCTGTAATCTTTATAAGCCATAACTTCCTTTTTAGTAATGAAATAGGCTCATTTTCAAATAAGGCTTTTTTTAACATCTATCCTATTTTTGATGCCATTTAGACCAGTAGTTGGTTGGTTTTATATATGAAATACATAATTGAAACATAAAACTACTTGGTCACTGATTGTGATATTGTTTTTATTTACATATAAGTATAATATCAAATTAATACAGTTTGTTCCTAAATTTACCTAATCAAGTTGTATACTGCTGTTTTTGTTAAATTTATATTTTGTCTAAATACACGCAATTTACATATTTTTTATATTACAATTGTTTAATAACTAATGACAATTTTCAAAGCCAGCTTATTTTCAAGAGTTTTTGTCTGCTAGGAATCCTAGGCTTGTTCCAAATTGCTGCCAGTTGGCCAAATTTCGAATTGGGCATATTATCAATATTTTAGGATAACTTTTAGGATAACAACAGGCACGTTGTTCCTTGTAATGCCCACTTAATCATTTGTAAGTAAAAGATTAACTCATGTTTGAACTTGAAACTAAATCAAATCCACTAGAAATACAATATGAACAGGTTTGGTTTCAATATTAAGCAAACTATTTTTTCCACATCCTCATCCACTAGAAATACAATATGAACAGCTTTGGTTTCATTATTATGTAAAAGAGTTTTCCAACATCCTCATCTAAGTCTGTGTTGAACCTTGATCTCTTAATTATACAAGACTCCTCTACACATCCTTATACAAGTTGAAGTCCTGAAAGTTCTAAAACGTAAGTCTTGATGTTAAATACAAATTATAGATTCTGTTGAACTTTGAACCCCTCCTTAAGGTGCTCTTTTTTATATTCAAAATAATAATATGAATAATGCTTATTTGAATGTCATATTTGAAGGATTCTGAAATGCAACCAGACTTTTAGTAAAGACATGGAATATGAATGTTTTGGTAACTGCCACATGATGTGCTCATCACACTTTAGTTATCACATGATTTACCCATTAAACTTATTCTAGCTTATAAATCATTAAAGTCTCGCTAATATAAAAGTTTGGTAACACGTGATATGAGTTGGTCTGTCCCATAAGAGATTCACACCTGGCTGAGACTGAGCGGCTGTGTTTCAGCTGTCTGTGGTTGTGTGTTCGACTCCCCTGTACTGCTGTCCCCTACCTCCATTTGAACCTCCTCTGGACCACCCTTCACATTGGTGTCACATACACTACTCCCAGTGTCCACATTACGATCAGCTGATTCAAGCAAATCTGCTTTTGCCAACATTTCCCCCTCGTGGGAATCGTCACTAAACTCAACATCTACATCTGGGGATTTATTTGTGTTTGCTCTAGAATCATTCCAATTCGATTCACCCTTAGAAGTTCTTGACGTGCTATCTTTTCCGTGGGATTGTGCCCCTCTACCTTCATCCTCCTCCATCACCGATTCATCTGCCTCAGGTGTATCTTGCTCACCAAGCCCACTCTCAACTTTTCTAATGTAATCCAATAGTTGTGCGCGTACACCATCGTCCTTAAGCGTTCCTATCCAGTAGTTTACGCAACTCTCCAGGACATTAGATAGCTCGCCTGTCTCCAAGGCCTCTTGCAGGACAAATTCCACGAATGGTCGCTTCAGATATTCATATCCAAACTCCCCTAGGGACTTGAGAATCCGAGTGATCCGCAGATAATTATGAAATGATCTAAAGAATACAAAAAAAACACCAATGTCAATAATACAACTTCAGTCATTCACTCAAACATGTTCCTGAAGAGCAGATCAAGAGGGGGAAGGAGTTGTGTGTAGGGATTTCCAGAGTAATAAATAATAAAAATATGTGGATGTGATTCAGGTAATGATTGCTTAAATATTTTAAAACTTCAAAAGGATAGAGTGTCCAACAGCCAGTATTCCCTACCCCTGGCCAATGGTATATATAATCCATGGAGTTGTGAGTGTTAGTGGCTATACAGAGACAAGAAGTACATTGTTTTACCCTGCTGGTAGTGAACTAGACTATGGGTAGAATCCCTGAGAGTTGTGACCTTGACCATGGGTAGAACCCCTGAGAGTTGCGACCTTGACCATGGGTAGAATCCCTGAGAGTTGTGACCTTGACCATGGGTAGAATCCCTAGGAGTTGTGACCTAGACCATGGTTAGAATCCCTGAGAGTTGCAACCTAGACCATGTGTAGAATCCCTGAGAGTTGCAACCTAGACCATGTGTAGAATCCCTGAGAGTTGTGACCTAGACCATGGGTAGAATCCCTGAGAGTTGTGACCTTGACCATGGGTAGAATCCCTAAGAGTTGTGACCTTGACCATGGGTAAACTCCCTGAGAGTTGTGACCTTGATCATGGGTAGAATCCCTAAGAGTTGTGACCTTGACCATGGGTAAACTCCCTTAGAGTTGTGACATTGACCATGGGTAGAATCCCTTAGAATTGTGACCTTGACCATGGGTAGAATCCCTGAGAGTTGTGACCTAGACCATGGGTGGAATCCCTGAGAGTTGTGACCTACACCATGGGTAGAATCCCTGAGAGTTGTGACCTAGACCATGGGTGGAATCCCTGAGAGTTGTGACCTACACCATGGGTAGAATCCCTGAGAGTTGTGACCTAGACCATGGGTGGAGTCCTTAAGAGATGTGACCTTGACCATGGGTAAACTCCCTTAGAGTTGTGACCTTGACCATGGGTAGAGTGCCTGAGAGTTGTGACCTAGACCATGTGTAGAATCCCCGAGAGTAGTGACCTAAACCATGGGTAGAATCCCTGATAGTAGTGACCTAGACCATGGGTAGAATCCCTGAGAGTTGTGACCTAGACCATTAGTAGAATCCCTGAGAGTTGTGACCTTGACCATTGGTAGAACCCCTGACAGCTGTAACCTTGATCATGGGTAGAACCCCTGAGAGTTGTGACCTAGACCATGGTTAGAATCCCTGAGAATTGTCACCAAATGTTGTGACCTTGACCTTGGACAGAATACCCAAAGTTGAAAGTTTTTGGTGCCTATAAAGAGTCCTGATGTAAACATTTTAACCCGGAGGTCGTGAACTTGACTTTGGAATCTGCCCAGTCTCATTTGCTTATATCTTACACTGTTTGTTTATAATTACTTGTATTGGTCGTAAAAAACCTGTATCCAGTGATATTGATCACTACTTCACTTGAAATCGGATTACAGAGGATCTACTCATCCGTCCACGGCTAACACCAAATCACTCGGAGGACTTTAAATCAGGATTCATAAAATATTTCCCCGATTACCATAAAACTCTTGAATTTGACAGTGTTTATAAAATAAAAAATAAAAATGCGTAAACCACTCAAGTTGCTATACACCTGTAAACCTGCTGCGACCCTGCCTCCATATACAAGTCTATGTAATCCTCCCCTGGTGGAATGTTGTAGTGCATGTTTGCAACAATGTGCAGACACATAAACTCTTAGATAAACATATATGGGAAATATTTGGCAGATATGCTCTTGAGAAGAGTCAACATTCTTTCAACTTTAATGTTGTATTACCCTACAAGCTAAACTCTTACACAACAGCCATGCCATGTCTCAAAACATAACACAAGTCACATACCACAAGTAAATGTAGACTTATCAACAATATTGCATCAACACTCAACACAACACAAGTCATACAACACAACACAAGTCACACAACACAACACAAGTCACACAACACAACACAAGTCACACAACACAACACAAGTAAATGTAGACTTATCAACAATATTGCATCAACACTCAACACAACACAAGTCACACAACACAAGTCACACAACACAACACAAGTCACACAACACAAGTCACACAACACAACACAAGTCATACAACACAACACAAGTCATATAACACAACACAAGTAAGTGTTGACTTATCAACAATATCACTCAACACAACACTCAACACAACACAAGTCACACAACACAAGTCACACAACACAACACAAGTCACACAACACAAGTCACACAACACATCACAAGTCATACAACACAACACAAGTAACTGTTGACTTATCAACAATATCACTAAACACTCAACACAAGTCACACAACACAAGTCACACGACACAAGTTGCACAACACAAGTCACACAACACAAGTCACACAACACAACAAAAGTCAGTGCTAACTTAAAAACAACATCATGTCAACCCTCAACTCATAAGTCACACAACACTACACATAGGTCACACAACACACAAGTCAGACAACTCAGGTCAGTGTAAAATTAACAACATCATGTCAACACTCAACACACAAATCACACAACACTACACATAGGTCACACAACACTCAACACACAAATCACACAACACTACACATAGGTCACACAACACTCAACACACAAATCACACAACACTACACATAGGTCACACAACACTCAACACACAAATCACACAACACTACACATAGGTCACACAACACTCAACACACAAATCACACAACACTACACATAGGTCACACAACACTCAACACACAAATCACACAACACTACACATAGGTCACACAACACTCAACACACAAATCACACAACACTACACATAGGTCACACAACACTCAACACACAAATCACACAACACTACACATAGGTCACACAACACTCAACACACAAATCACACAACACTACACATAGGTCACACAACACTCAACACACAAATCACATGTCACACAACACAGGTCAGTGTACTCTCATCTACAATATGCCAGCTCTCATCACACAACACAGCGGTATATAACGACAGCCCTACCTGCCATTGAGACCACCTGTATATAGCTATCACTAATATTTATATTGGCAACCTGTATATAAGACTACCTGTCCATAAGGACAATGTTGTTGTCTACACCAGTGACCTGTCGGTGTTTAAATGCAGGATTTTATACTACAGTAGAATCTGTCTACTCTCATACTCGGACAGTTCCAGACTGGTTATGAAAAATAATTATCATTGTCCCTTTAATTCTTGTTAATCCAAAAAAAAAATCTATATTCAAATTTCTGTATTCAATCTAACAACCACTATTTTACTATTTATTAAGAAATTGGGAGATTTGATATTCCTAAACATCTTAGTCACTGAGAATTTGAAAAACAGATCTTTCAAAAAAGTATTTGTATGAACACATTGAAATTTGAATTCCTAAATAAACAGTTAACTAAGCCTTTAATTACAAACATGATTGAAAGACCAACTTTCCCTGTATTTCAATGTCAATTTTTGTATATCTAAGTCCTCTCCAATATCTCCTATTCTATGACAATCAGGAGATAACGAGGTTTAACAGTATATATGACTTGTAATACCTTTTTATCACCTATAAAAATACATTTTATCTTAATCCTTTACTCTCTCTAAGGTTCAGCCTATCAACAAATGAAATTTTTGCTGCATGACTTTTGTAAATCTGAGCGATTGACGGAACCAGACTTTGGTCCTCTATGCTAGGTATGTGATATGTGACAGCGACACATCGCCACCTTCTCTAACGTTTGACCGTTGGGATCAGGGGCCCCTTTAAAGGACACTGATTTTTAAATCAGTTACTTCATATTTGCCCCTGCTGAGATATTAAAGGGTTATGGGTTGAGCACTGAAGTCCCCTGTACACGCCTGGGGATCGAGGTATGGGTTTACGGTAACATATCAGAATATCACGACAGTAAGGAACAGTGTTGGGTACCTGGATCTAATGCATCTTTATAAAGTGAAAACGACAGAAAATTGAACATGGAAGCACAACGTATTCTCTTATTTAATTAAAAAATATACCGGTACATAATAGAAAATGTATACAGAGATTGGACATATTCCTTGAGCACCATGCCAAAATGAGCAATATATATGTCTATCCAATTATTTTGGCTAGGTGAAACCAAAGTTTAGTTTACGCTGCATGAAAACCCTGTGGAAAGAGCTTTATGCTGAATTTATTATTTTGTAGTTCGATGAGAAACTGTTCTCTAAAACACATGTCACACCACAGGTCAGCAAGCATTCTTCCCACAATGACGAGGCAGTTACACAAAGATGTTACAAAACACTGCAAAACATGACTCACTATTTCATGTTTTATATTTCAAACACACTCTATTTGGATAGATATTTCGTCTATTTTAAACCTCAGAATGTACAGACAAGAGTGGCTTGAGGTAAACACTTGTGGGAAGTGTCATCCAGCTCTGTGAGGGGGCGGGGTCACCCAGCTCTGTGAGGGGGCGGCGTCACCCAGCTCTGTGAGGGGGCGGGGTCACCCAGCTCTGTGAGGGGGCGGGGTCACCCAGCTCTGTGAGAAGTGAGGGGGTGGGGTAGGGTTGCTGGGTGCAAATACCCCAATTCATTATAATTTCAATTTTAGTACCATAATTCCAAATGGTGATCGAAAAATGACTATCAAGTTGTTGAGAGCTGAAACCATAATTAAAACAGGAAATGGCAATAATCAGGATACAAATGATAGCATGCTCTTCATAAAGTTTATATTTGTTAGCCTAAATATTTAAAGATGTTCGAACACAATTTTAGCCTAAATATTTAAAAGATGTTCAAACACAATTAAGAGCACTTACTTTTAAATTCACTAAATACTTTTATCTCACATGTTATATAACTGTCAAATTTAATTGTTAAAAACAGTTTCAAAAGTTGTCGAAAAAATGAATAATAAGTGACAAAC